ACCCTCTATAAAGACTGTGTTCCTTTCTGGGTTGTTCCAGGAAATATTCCTATTGGCCCAACTCTCAGCAGATATCATTAGTGAGCCAATCACTGTGGACAAGACTCTGTGCTTTGATTAGCCAGACCCAAGTCAAGTACAGCTCCTGGGGCCCCATTAGTACTGTCCATTCGACCTGAACCAAGGGACCGAGATTGTGCAAGGGTGCTTATCAGAAGAAAATGAAAATATAATTAGCAGAAATGAAAACGGATTCTTCAGGGCCAAGACTAGAGGAGGCCAGTGAGGCACTAATGGAATGAACGTGGAGAAGACATTCATTTCAGGTTCATGCAGGATGGGTTTTGAGAGAGAGCATCTCCTCAAATTGTATGCCCTGTCCTCTGCACTCACCTCACCTTAGTCCTGGCCTTGGATGCTGACCAAGCAAACTATAGAATATTCATTACACTGGTATAGTTTAAACATCCTCTAAATTCACATGGGACATGGTTGTATGTAAAGGTCTTAGGTGAAAACTTAATCTCTTCATGGTGTCCCAGGGTAGGGCCTTTGGACATGATAAAGTCACTAGGCCAGAGAGTCCCATGACTGGGTTCTGATGTATATGTAAGGAGAGGAAATAAGGGGCCACATGGATTCAGACCAGAACAAGGAAAAAAATCTACGAATGGTCACTCTGCTCAAGATCCTCCACTGTGTTGTAGCCTCAACATGGAAGTTGACCCCTGGACTCCAAACCCTGAATTGTATAACCCCCTACTTCTTTATAAACCATCTAGTCTCAGGTGTTTCTGTTAGCAGTGCAGTAGCATACTAGGACACACTCATACTCAAAAACATCTCCCAGAGTCCCTGAAACCCCTCCTACTGGAGATTCATTTATTTGGGTTAAACAGAGACATCACTACAAGTCCTGCAATTATTTTTCTTCTAAAACAGCTAGAAGGCAAAATTTTAAGGCAATAAGAGTATCCCATGCACACGCCAATTATAGACTATCAATCAGTCACCTCCAGGGCCAGCACCTCAAGCCCCACCCTATAATGTGGTACAGCACATACAAGGAGAGACGTAGGGGTCAGAGAAGGAATGCCCAGAACCTGAGGCAGCATCAAAGGAAACCCCTGAAGAGGAGAAAAATGAAATAGAAAAGAAAATACAAGATTTTAAAGGTAGGCTGGCCTTATAGCCTAGTGGTTAAGGGAGCCAGAGTCTACATAGCCAACTGCAGTTTGAATCCCAGCCCCAGAGACTTGAAAAACACCCTGGGCATGTGTGCATGCTTGCCTGAAATCTCAAGAAGATCAAAAAATTAAAGAGAAAGAATTATGGCATGACCACACCCATGGAGGATTCTCTCTCTCTCTCTCTCTCTCTCTCTCTTTTCCCTCTCTGGTGAGCATACGTTCCCTCTGGCAATTAAAAAAAAAATGTTAAAGGGAACTCTTAACCTGTTTACCTCATCACTTAATCACACTTAATGAACGCTGACTCTAATCCTACTTTATCAATTTGCCTAAATTCTGACGCAGGGACTTTTGGGTAGCAAGTTGGTGAGGGAGAAAGTAGTAAGAAAGTGTAAGAGGCACAGTAAATATAGAAATCCCCAAACAAGAACTCTGGTGGTGGACAACATCTGGGAAGTCTTCCCTAAAGTTCTGATGATGAAGCTAAGAAAGAAGGATCAGTCCTGCCAACAGCAAATCCTTGGGCGCTTAGTTTGCTAGAATATTTTGGAAGTATAATTTCCCCCTACAGCAAGGATTTAAGGAAAGACTAGAAGAGTAATGAATTTTGTGCCCCTCCTAGGCTCAAGGGAAAAATCAGTCTTTAAACCACAAGCTAAAAAAGTCAGCTGACTCTTAAGTTTGGTATTAACAAAGGCAATTTTTCCTTTCCCTCATATCCCAATAATCTTTTTCTAGGACTGTGGTTGCCTTTGGCAAAGCAAAGCGCTTACATAACTGAAATATATCTGCCTCTCATAAAAATTGGGTTCAAGATGTTTCATCCACCTAATAATTATAAGTATATATAATGTAATCATTTTGTTATTAGTTGGTGTACATATTTGGGAATATAGTTCTCCAGTACTTCAACTCATAACGGATCCACACTCCACCTAGAAGCCATAGTGTCCCGGTCCATAGACCCCCATCTGTCTGCTTCTGACAATAGATTTGTAACCACAGTTGCAGCTGAATATTTTAACCAGAGTCTAGTAAATCTTGGAATCTTACAACCCACTTTCCTGTCTCTCATATAAAAATGGCTTCCACAGGGTGTGCCCACAGGAAGATAATGTGGTGGCTAGAGTGTCTGGTGCCCGCAGTAACTGTATCCTCGCAGGAACTACTTGCTTTATATTCCACTGAGAACTAATACAGCTGTGTTCTGGTTGTATCAAGGTCAGTGTTCTAAGAATCAAGCTTCTGTTATGCCTGTATAGCTCTGTGGTTAAGTACTCTGCATTGGGAGCTGATCCCCTATGGTCAGCCACAGTTTGAATTCCAGCCCCAGCAACTTAAAAAATACACTGGGCATATAAGTGTGCATGTCCCAAATCCTGATGGGTCAGAGAAATGGAGGGAAAAGGATTGTGACATGATCATGCCCCATTGAGAGGTTCTCCCTCTTGCAAAAAACAAACAAACAAACGAACAAAAGCAATGTTTCTGTTCCCACAACACCTAAAACTAGATGCTAGATCAAGGACAAATCATGAAATTGTGTTGACTCACCATGAGGCCTCTTTCTGTCTCTGTCTCTCCGGTGAGCACATGCGCCCTATTGCAAAAATCTCTCTTAAAAAAAAAAAAAAAAAAAAAGAAGAAGAAGAAGAACACTTGCTAGTCCCCAAACTAGGAAAATTCAATTGTATAAAATCAATAGGGCTTTTGTTTGCTTGTTTGTCAGGTTTTAGCCACAGGGTGAGTGTACTCACCAGAAAGAGACAGAGAGAGGGAAGGTGAAAAATCACCCTCCCCTGGGGGAATCACCACATCACAATCCCTTCTCTTCCATTCTCCTCTTAGGATTTGGGGTATGGATGCACATGCAGCCGGCATGATTTTTAAGCCTCCTGGTCTAGGACTCAAACCACAGTGGGCCATGTAGGGGTCCAGCACCTTAACCACCAAGTCATTTGCTGGTCCAAAGTGTGCATGCATGCCCAAGATCCTGAGAATGGAGGAGAAGGGATTATGGTGTAGTCATGCCCCCAGGGGGTGATTTCTTACTTTCTGTCTCTCTGTCTTTCTGGTAATCGCATGCACCCTATAGCAAAAACAAAATAAAATAAAATTAATCAACAAAACAAAAAAACAAACAGAAAAACTCGATCAAAAAATAAAAAGAAATATAAATTACACTATATTGAGAAAGAAAAGATAATTACAACTAGTGGCTTGGAGACCACTTCTTAGCAAACGGAAATTTGGCCAAAATGTGCTGGGAACAAACTTCTCATGTGGCTAGGCGTTGGGACCTTGGCCAGCTAGCCCTGGGTAAGAAATAAATTTCAAACTTGTGTTTCAAACTCCAAAGTTTATGGGTGCAGAGATGCTTTGCCCTATAGGTTAACATAGGTTATCAAGGGGCTGGCAGGTGGCATGGTGGTGAAGGGTGCTGGATTCCCACATGGCCAAGTGTGGTTTAAGTCCCAGACCTGACTTGCCTTCTCACTTTCCCTCTCTCTCTCTCTTGCTCTGTCCTTCTCTGGTCAAAATTTAAATAAATAAAATAATTCTTTTTTAAAAAAACACAGGTTATCAGATTTTACACTACCATGGTTGTGGTTTCTGAACTCCTCTTCCTATTGCATACACAGTCATGTGTCACTTAAGGTGGGGATACACTCTGAAAATTTCAACACTGGGTATTCTGCCATTGTGGGAACAGCAAAGACTGCATTTATATAGACCTGACTGGTATAGGCTACAACACACCCAGGCTAATAGATATAGCCTAGGATAATTTTATGGAACCACTGTGTTTTTTTAATTAATTAATAATTCATTTCATTTTATTTATTTTAATTTAACCATAGACGGAAACACAGAGAGACAGAGAGAAAGAAAGTGAGAAAGCAAATTACCAGGTCTGGAACCGGAACCATCGTGGGCCATGTGGGAACCCAGTGCCTTTAACCACCACACTACCTGCCGGCCCCGACCACTGTGATTTTATATACTGTCAATCACTGATTAAAATTTTGCTATGTGGGAACCAGCAGTTAGCGTAATGGCTATATGTCACTGAACTCCCACGTAGCTGACCGCAGTTCCAGTCCCAGACCTGGTGGCTTAAACTCACGCCAGGCGCGTGTGCATGCGTGCCTCAAGACCCGTAGAGGAAAATGGAGAAAGGATTGCGGCATGGCCATCCCCCCTGGGGGGGTGATTTCTCGCTTTCTGTCTGTCTCTCTCTGTCTTTCTGGCGAGCGCACGTGCCCTATAGCAAAAACCTCTCCAAAAAAAAAATTTTTTTTTGCTATGTGGACCATGACTATATTTATAATAACGTATTATCTCTCTTTCACTCAGTTTGTTTCTTTGAATGGTTTAATCTGCCTAAATAAAAGCCTGAAAAGCCAAGATTATCTAAACTATGAGCCCTGTAAGAGCCCAGAGCTTCCTTGAGGCAGGGAAAGATGTCACCTTTTACTCTGAACTGAGACAAAATGTCAAGAGAACTGCCTAGAAAACTAGCCCCACCAGCTACACAGAGACCCCTCTGGCTGCTTTAGAAAAAAGGTCTCCTTTCCAAGCCTTAATCAGCCTGAAATGCACAGATCCCAGGGGGTCCAGGGGAAGCCCCTTAAAATGCTTAATTACCAGAGAGCAATGGCACTGACTGCGGCAACAGCAGCACCGGAAGTTCTTGTCCTTCCAGCTGCCTGGGAATCCCAGCCTAAACTCTTCCTGGAAACGCTTTCCTCACCCGCGTCTCTTGCGAAATCCAGCGGGCCCTCCCTCCTCTCTCAGTTCTTATATCAGCGCTTGGAGCCGCAGCGCTGACCTGGAGGAGCCTGGAGCCCCGCGCTCTGCCCGCCTTTCCCTTTTCCGCAGCGCGCACCCGGTACAGCTGCGCTGGACACTCACTGCCCTGGAAGCGAGTCTCTCGCAGGTGGGTCCCATTGTTGGCTATTTATTGCCTTGTAGCTTTTAGACCTCATCCCTTATCTGCCTCAGCGGACCTCAAAAGCCCCTGCTTCTAGACCCCCCTCCCCTCCCCAGCCTGTGCACAGTAAAGAGAAGGTGCTTGCAAACTCCCAGCGGCTCCCTGGCACCCAGAAGGGTCATTCCAGGCCTCAGTGTGATCAGTTAAGCGATTGAGCAGTCTTCTAGCTTCCAAAGGAGAAGGATTTCGGGGGTTGGATTCCTCTCTGCATCTTACATCTGGCTTGGAACTACCTGTGGCGCCCATCCAGCCGGAGCTTGGAAGAGACTTCAGCAATCTCTACAATCTCAGATCTGAGGCTGCTCTTGACCAACAGCAGAAAATTTGTCCTGAGATCTGATACCACTTCCATCTTGATCTTGATTTAGATTTCCTTATGCAGTTTAGCCATTGCTTTTCCAGAGAAGTCTTATTCAGAATATAACGTATTGTGAATAGTAACTACAAGGGGAGGCTCTTCAAAAAGAATCATGGAAAATGCTTATTATGGAAAAAAAAAAGATCATACTCAGATTTCAAACAGAAAAACTAGTACCAAAATACATTTGTACTTTAATTCCATTTTTCTGAGAACTTTTTGAAGTCCCCTGGTAAAGCCTTGGTTCCCTATTTGTCCAGAGACAGGTATAAGATAAATTTTTCCTCTTGATGGTAATTTAGGAATTTTTTCAAGAGCTGACTGGTGTGGTAGGAAATGAATTGGACAGAAAATGGGGGCGGGATGGAGAATTCTCATCCTAGTCCTAACTTGAAACTCAACATCTCAGCCTCAGTTTCTACAGATGTAAAATAAAATCTTCTCGAACAAATAATTCACAAAGACTAACTCTGACAAAGGGAATAAGCCACAACAAAGATGCCTGCAGTTTCAAAATATGTTAAAATTGTTATTAATGCCAGAAATATCATTGAATAATTACTTTTTTCATAATAATACAGGTTTCTTTTTTTTTTTTTGAGAGAAATTTTGCTGTTGGGTGCATGTACTCTCTGGAGAGACAGAGAGACAGAAAGCAAGAAATCATCCCCCAGGAGGGACAGTGACTCTCAATCCCTTCTCCTCTATTCTTCTCTTGAGATTTTGGGCACGCACGCACATGTGCCTGTCATGAGTTTTAAGTTGCTGGGTCCAGGACTCAAACCATGGTCGACTATGTGGGAGTCCAGTGACGTCATCATGATGCCATCTGCTGGTCCCCAGGTTTCATTTTGATAAGGAAACTCCGCAGCTGTGGAGAGTCTCTTCCCACAGGAACATCTTAAAGTTCTGCCACATTTATCATCTAGAGAATGCTCTCAGCTTCCAAAACCATTCTTCAGCCTTACTATGTGAAATGTCCTATTCCCTACAAATGGCAGTCATATAAATGTCACTCACATGAAAGAACATTTTTTTCTGATACGGTAGATGTAATTTTATAAAATGGCACATTTATTTGAAGCAGTAACTTTTTTGAGATATGGCCTTTTGCAATGCCCTGAGTTTTTCAGAATGCTGTGATTTAGCACAGTATGAGAGCCTACTTCTACCTGCATGGCAAACACTGCCAGCCCAGCAAATGGGATGAAGCACTCCCTGTTAATCAGACTCTGAGCTTGTAAAGTAAATAGTACATGTGTACAGAAAAATTGGGTCATAGCACTTTCTCCATTTGGCAACATTATGGTTCTCCTGAAGATCAGAGCAACGTGAGGTTCAGAAACCAGCATATACGAGGCCTGACCCCTAACTTGAGAATGATATCCAGACTTCTGCCTTGCTTAAACATGCCATTATTTAAGAGACCAAACAGAGTTTTATAAGCCTGTAAATAAATAGAAAAATTAAGAATCCTGGGCGTTGCACTGTATTGTGAAAATGTTTAAGGAAAATAGGCTAATTTGTTGGGTCTAGCAGATGGTGTAATGGTTACATCATTGGACTCCCAGGTAGTTGACTGTGGTTCAAATCTCGGACCCATTGGCTTAAAACTCACACCACGCATGTGTGCATGCATGCCCAAAATTCCAAGAGGAGAATGGAGAAGAAGGGATTGTGGCATAGCCATCCTCCCAGGAAGGGGTTTCTCACTTTCTGTGTCTGCATCTCTTTCTGTCTCTGGTGAGCACAGAAGTCCTATAGCAAAAATTTCTCTCACAAAAAAAAAAGAAAAGAAAAATAGACTCATCCAGAATAGAACTTTGAAGTTGAAGAAACCATTAATGGTCACTTTGTACTACCTTGTCTCTTGAAGGACGGTTCCTAAATCACCCACCATTGTTAACAGGATATAAATGCTCCTTTTAACATGAGCAGCTGATTCTGCGGTCGCTCTCAAAAACATATTCCAGTGTTCCATGATCCTCACTATTTAATTCTCTTATAATCAATTTAAATATTTTTCATCAACTACTATTTAAAAATAAGATTGTCTTTAAAAATCTTAAGAAGACTGGGACTAGCAGATGGTATAATGGTTACATTGCTGGACTCCCACACAATCTACCACGCTTTAAGTCCCAGACCCGGCAGCTTAAAGCTCATGCTGGGCATGTGTGCATCTGTGCCCAAAATTCTGAGAGGAGAATGGAGGAAAAGGGATTGCAGTGTGGCCATCCACCCTACAGGGTGATTTCTTACTTTCTGTCTCTCTGTCTCTGTCTCTCCAGGGAATGCATGCATCTTATAGCAAAAATCTCTCCAAAAAAAGGAAAATCTTAAGAAGGCTGATGAGCTATAAACAAAGACACAGCACCCACCCCAACCCCGCAGCCCGCCCACACACACAGCACACCAACCATAGTACAATAGCCTTCAAAGCTTGAGACTCGCTAGACATCTTCCAGCTAGTTTTCCAAGGAGATCATCAATTAAGTGCCTACAGTACATCTGATAATTCCTACTACGATCTAGAATAGCTTGTGTATTATGATGTTTTCTGGGTGGAATTTTTTTTAAGTTTAAGCTAGATAATAATAGAAACCTGTTTATTCTTTGCACATCCAAAGAGGATGGTTCATTAGTTAATTATAAAGGCTTCCCATTCCACATGATGTGTTAAACCTACTTAAGATATTTTGAATAACTTTTCAGTCATTTCCAAAGCTATCTGAATTAACACAGTCCTCTCATTAAGAAGAAATCAGTCCTAGCATGAATCAAACTAAGTAAAAAACAATTAGTGCTCAAAACAATGCATACTAAGACAACATACTCAGCCTATGTACAAAAGCAATTTGTTCTTCCAAATCAATAAGGAATAGAAAACAAAGAATGCTTGCACAGTTGAAGATTATCTTTCAGAAATGTACCACTGCAAAAGAATGCACTATTCTACTAAAAGATATATTTCCACTCTAATTAACTAGGCAGGACACTGAAGTCCTGATGTAAATTCTTCTCCACAGTGTTCTAGAAGACTTTATTCAGTCATGTGTGAAGAGATCTTATCATTTTGTACTTTTGACAGTCACATATTTTCAAAAAGTTAGTTCAAGAAAAATACAGGTTTTTTGTTTTTGTTTTTGTTTTTTTAATGTTGTGAGAGCATAAGTGTTCTCACCAGAGAGGGAAAGAACAAAAGAAGCACCTGCCATGGGGCATGGTCACACTGCAATCCTCTCTGCCATTTCTCCCTCCTTTCAGGATTTTGAGTACATACATGCATGCACCCAGCATGTTTTTCTTACTTTTTTTTTTTTTTTTGGAGAGGTTTTTGCTATAGGGCGTGTGTGATTGCCAGAAAGACAGAAAGATACAGAGAGGCAGGAAGTGAGAAATCACCTCCCAAGGGGGGATGGCCACGCCATAGTCCCTTCTACTCCATTCTCCTCTCGAGATCTTGGGCATGCACACACATGTGCCCAGCATGAGTTTAAGCCATCAGGTCCGGGACTCAATCCATAGTCAACTACATGAGAGTCCAGCAACATAGCCATTATGCTAACTGCTGGTCCCCCCAGCATGTTTTTCAAGCTGCTGGGTCCAGTATTCAAACCTTGTAGTCAGCCATGTGGGATCAGGCTGCCTTAACCACTAGGTCATGGGCTGGTCCAAGAAATATGTTTTTTAATCTAGATCAGTCCTAACCCAGGATGAAGTAAAGTTCACTTTACATCTTTAAAAGTAGGAATATGTGTACAAAGAGTAATTTTTTAAAAGTTAGAAACTATGATTCTGAATAAAAAGAAAGTTAAGAGGTCATTTACTATGACCATAGGTATGTACTACATAACAATGTTTAGGTCAAAGACGGGCCCCATACGAAATGGTAGTCCCATAAGAATATAATGGAGCTGAAAAATTCCTGTCCCCTTGCGACCTCGTAGCCATTGTAACATCATAGCTCAAGACGTAGCTCAGTGCACCACAAATGCATCACCAGTTAAAGTGATGCTACTATATACAAACTTATTAATACTACACTACTGGTCTTAGAAAAGTATATACCACATACAGTTATGTATAGTACCAAATACTTGATAAGAAATTATTATGATTGGTTTAGATATTTTCTATACTACTCTTTTTATCATTATTGTAGAGTGTATGCCTCTTTATTAAAAAAAAAAAAGTTTTCTACAATGTGCCGTGCCGTTCTGGCAGCAGCCTCAGACATCACAGATTGTTCTTGTCCATTGATTGCATCATTTTTCTTGTCTTTGATTTAATTCCATGTGGTTTTGTTCATCGTGGTCCTTCCAGTGGGACAACATGTGAAGGCCAAAGGCAGTGGTAATAATGATCCTTACCCTGTGTAGGCCTAGGCTCACATGTGTGTTTATGTCTTAGATTTTCAACAAAATAGTTTTAAAAATAAGAAATAAATTAAATATTAAAATTGTGAAGATCTTTATAAACTAAAGACATGTAGAAAGAAAATATTTTTTGCACAATTACTAACGTGTTTGTGTTTTAAGCTAAGTGTTATTACCAAAGAGGCAAAAAGTTAAGAAAAATTTAAACT